GCCCGCCTGTCCTCCGCCAACTACAAGACCAAGATGACTGCCCTCCGACGTCCTGATGGATCTATCACGTCTTCCAGAAGGGCAATGGAGAAGATTATCCATGACTTCTACTCGGATCTCTTCGATAGCCATGGCCACCTGCCCACATACCAAATTCCGCAGGATGGATATGTCATTCCCAAAGTTCTCCCTTCCAAAATCTGACATGTCATTTCATCGGTAAAGAAGCGAACAGCACCCGGTGCAGACAAGGTCAGACCCAAACACCTGAAGAATCTTCTATCGGTACTCATCCATACACTGGCTCAGCTCTTCACATTCTACCTGTCTGAATGCAAGGTTCCATACCAGTGGAAAACCAGCAGGACTGTACTACTGTACAAGAAGGGAGACATCCACGACATTGGCAACTATCGCCCGGTCTGCCTATTGTTTGTCATCTACAAGTTGTTCACTCAGTCATCCTGAATAGGATTAGCAGAACACTAGATGGAGGACAACCATGTGAGCAAGCCAGGTTCCGCAAAGGATTCAGCACCATCGACCATATCCACACGATAACCAAGCTCATTGAGGTTTCTCGGCATCTTGAAGATGCCTCTCTGTCTAATGTTCATTGATTTAAAGAAGGCCTTTGATTCTGTTGAGACTGAAGCGGTCATTGAGGCCCTAGCCAAACAGGGCATTCAAACTCAATACATCAGTATCCCCTGTGAGCTGTATTGTGGATACACTACCAGAATCTCACCATTCTACAGGAGGTGATCATTGATGTCAAGAGAGGGGTTCAGCAGGGTGATACCGTTTCACCGAAACTCTTCAGTGCCACCCTCGAGAATGTAATGCAACGACTGGGATGGGAAGAAATGGGAGTGAAGATAGTCGGCAACTACACCACCTCCGCTTTGCTGATGACATCATTCTAATAACACCAAACATCAGCCAAGAGGCACAAATGCTGGCCGACTTCCACCATGAGTGTGGAAAGGTTGGACTACAGCCGAATCTCATGAAGACGTTTATGAGAAACAGTCTCATTTCTGATGTTCCATTTGCTCTCAATGGGACGAACATCTCGAATGCAGCAGTTGTGTGTACCTAGGTCGAGAAGTCAATATGACAAATGACCTGGCACCTGAGTTGTGCAGAAGGAAGAGAGCAGCTTGAAACACCTTTAAGAGCGTCGAAGAAATAGCTAAGAGGACAAAGAATCTCCAGTTCTGGGCACATCTCTTCAATTCCACTGTTCTTCCTGCATTACATATGCCTCAGAGATCTGGGCCCTGCGAAAACAGGATGAGAACACTCTTCATGTCCCCCAAGAGGAATCGAAAGGGCTATGCTTGGAGTATCACGCTTCACTCAAGTGAGAGAAGGAATCCAGAGTTCTGACCTCCGTCGACATCAAGAATCAGGAAAGCCGTCTCATTTGCCAAGGCGTCGAAAATCAGATGGGCTGGGCACGTAATGAGATTTGGAGATCACTGACCGCTGGACCAGAGCCATTACTGACTGGATTCCATGGGACGTCAAAAGATTGCGTGGCCGCCCGCCTATGAAATGGTCAGACTTCTTCATCAAGACCCTTTATGATGGGTTTGAGACTGTTTGTGTTCCTAGAACGAGCAGACGCCTTTGGGCTACACTAGCACATGACAGGGACGAATGGAGATGTTACTGGCGCTGGCTGGAGCAAATTGATGAGTAATGGGATGTCAAGTGATCAAGGGATCAAGTGATTGGCTTTTATTTTAATATTAGGAATTGTTTTCGGTTTCACTGTTTCTCTGATTACTGTACACTAGCCTCTTACCCTGATATGTAGATACTTTGTATTTGCTCAATAAATGTTCATCTGGCCAAGGAGCAGTAGCTCACTCCTGAAAGAGTGCCATTGCACAGCCGCCTGATTTGCTGAAATTAATGTGTGCTGTGACTGATTGATTCGTGGTAGGGAATGTGTTAAATAAACAGGAATGAGTCAACTCTGTCTAATAAATGTTAGCCCATTCATGTTTTCTACAGGTACAGTGATTGTAACTAGAATAATACAGTGCTTGATTATAAAGTAAATCGAGTAACAATGTGACTACTATGGGAAATACAGAGAACTAGGGATGAAAAAAAAATGCTTCTGTTACTCAAGTCTCTCCTCAAGTACAAAGATGAGGAAGAAATGCAGTGACCAGTAAAATAGGATCTTTCATATATTCTAAAAGATTTTATCAGTATTTGGGGAATGAGTAGTAGCTTTGTGGTAGTGGAGTACTGCGGGTCATGGGAATGGTGGAATTTAAAGTGGGCAAAATTGAAGCTATATTGAGAAGGACTTTGTATCACGATAAATAAATTTGACTTTAATGCAGGAAAATTTTAGCATTTGATAGTATGTTGTTGCTTTCAAATAATACTTGAAATTAATTCTATTTTGACCTTCATGTCGACAGAATCGTAATGTTGAATGATATTTCAGGGAATTGTGGTGGGGATGGGCCTCACTGGGCTGTGTACTTAGGCCTCAGGGCTTACCCCTGGTTCTGTGCTCAGGGATTACTCTTGGCAGGGCTCAGGGGACTAGACAGGGTACCAGGGATTGAAACTGAGTTGGACTCAGAAAAAAAAAATTAAGATTTACTATCTCTTCAGACCCTGTTAACAGGTTTTGATTCTGGAAGAGATGCTAGTCATGGTACAGCAGTAACCACTTCTTAGCCCGCTCTGTGTGGTCCTCTCACTCCCTGACTGGCACTGTTACATTACTCCTTTCTTACTGACCTTTGTCTTACCAAGAAATGAATTTCTTGTAGTTACATTTTGTTATTTATAAGAAGAGCTGCAGCAAAGTTTTTTTCGTGCCTCAAGTACTATGTTGAATTTCATTTAAAAAAAAAATTCCAGCATACACATGAGTAAAATAGTAAAAATTAACTCAGTTTCCATACGGATTATGTTGTGATGTTGCTGTTTCTTCCATCTTCCCTCTACTCCCCCCAGTTTATTTCTGTGATATAATAAGATGAATGCTAGACATATTGTTTCACTTAGAAATATTTCACCACCTTTAACCCAAATCTCTAAAAAAGAAGAAAATTTTATGCTATCCTCTTTCTCTGGCTGGAGTTATATAGCACAAGGAGTAGGGCATTTGCCTTGCACGCGGCCAACGCAGGTTTGATTCCTCCATCCCTCTCGGGGAGAGCCTATCCCGCCTGCAAGGCAGAGCCTGGCAAGCTCCCTGTGGTGTATTCCATATGCCAAACACAGTGACAAGTCTCACAATGGAGACTTTACTGGTGCTCACTCGAGCCAAATTGATGAACAAGGGAGGACAGTGCTATAGTGCTAAAGTGCCAGCCTCCTCCTGCTTTCTGGAGGTTATATTTTGTGCCACTCTTTTTTCTTTTCTTTTCCTTTTCCTTTTTTTTTTTAATGAATCACCATGAGCTACAGTTACAAAGCTGTTTATGATACAGTTTCAGTCATACAGTATATAGATACATATTTTAATAATATGATAATTTTTCTTATCCTCAGGTTCCCTGCCACTCCCAATCTGCCACCTTGACAGGCATATAACACATTTATTTCCTATTGCTTGCTCCAACAAAATTATGAGAATTTTTAAAACATCATAAATTATTTTGAAAATTTCACTTTTCCTCCATACGTATCATATAAGCTTGACTGCTAAGAATGAAAGTTTTCTGGTATAAAAATTATTTCTTTCTACAAGCACGATAATTTATTGGATTTTATGTTATAGCATTAATCTATATATAATAATGATCATAGTCACACTCATTATGAGGACATTCCTCAAATTTACAAATGTTTGTTAACACTGGGACTCTGTATTTTGATAATAAGGATTAGGTCCACATAGCTTTTAGCTGCTACTAATTAATATTTAACTCAAGTAAGAAGTTCTCCTTCGGTAAAATTAATCATTCTCTTCTATCACTGCTGACTGGAAATAGATCTTAAGTGCCCTACAATACTTTTAATTGATTATCTGTCTTTGTTTTAATCCCAATGCACAAATCATATATAATTCATGTGATATTGACCATGTTACCAATTTTATGCTGTGCATACTTAGTACATGCCTGTAGCACAAATTCTGGAAAATATATCCTCTTTTTAATTGCAATTCAGTCATTTATACGAACAATGTAGTAGTCTTAAGGTGCAGATGTATCTGCAGTGTGTCTGGAAATGTAACCGGAGATCATTTAAAAGTACTCATTTTAGATCTGACAAAAAAGAAAGAAAGGAAGGAAGGAAGGGAGAAAGATACATATGTATTAAAATATGTATTTTAAGAGAGAAAGAAAGGAAGGAAGGAAGAACGAAAGCAATCAGCAAGAACTGTGAAGTTCATTTCATTGGCACTTGCAACATTTTCACTAACAGACTCATTTTATCTGCTACTGCCCGCTTCTTCAAGGTTTGTGTGAAATGAATATGATTTTGCAAAAAAGAATTGCGAAACCCAGTTTCACGATTTCCTCCCATGAAACTGTCACACTTAAATATACATTCGCAGAGAGGACTTAAATGTTCTTCTCTCTGACCCCTCCATTTCTCAAAACAGTTCTTTTTTTTTTTTTTGCAGTTGAATGCTAATCATTTTTGCGACCCTGGAACAAGGGATAGAATTTTTTTCCTTTTTTTTTTTTTTTCTTTTTTACAAATACAGGCCACGTTGCCCTAAGGGACAACCCGCACGCGCCCACCCGTTGACTGCGGCGCCTGGGCACGCGCGCTGCGCGCTCTCAGCTAGCAGCGTGGGGTCATCTGTTTATTTTCAGCCGCGCGGTCGGGAAGAACTGGCGGCCGTTGCCAAGGCAACCGACGCCCGGGGCAACCGCGAGTCCCGGCGCGAGGGGGCGTGGCCTCGGCAGGCCCCGGCGGATAAGAGGCCGCGCCGGCCGCCCACTCGCCACCGCTGGGCCTGTCACCGCGGCCGGACGGGAGGCGGGGCCGCCGGGACTCGCCGCCGACAGCCCGGGGAGCCGCAGCCTGCGTCCGGCCGGCCGCGAAGGCGTCGCGACGCCCGCGCTCTCCGGCCCCCGCACGGCCCCGCGAGGAAGCGTGGCCGCGCGCCCCAACATGGCGGGCCATCTGTTGACGGCGCTGCTGGTGGTCGCCTGGCTGTCCGCGCAGGGGGCGGCCGACTCCGAGCAGGCCGCGGGGCCCGTGGAGCGCAGCCTGGTGCAGCCCATGACGGCCTCCAACTGGACCATGGTGATGGAGGGCGAGTGGATGCTGAAATTGTGAGTGTGGCCGCCCGCCCGCGGCAGGCCCCGGCGGGAGCCTCCGCCCCCCACCCGCGACCTCCACACTGCCCGGCCACGAGCCCCAGCGTGGGCTTTTCCCGACGCGACTCCGAGGGGCTTTGGGGGCGACCTGGGGGCAGCCCCCCGGAGCCGCCCTGCTGACAACCTGCAGCGCCGGAACGCGATGGCGCATGCGCACCCGCGCGGCGGCCGCCGCCGCCGCCGCCGCCGCCGCCGCGCCCGCAGAGGGTGTCCTGCACTCCGCGCCTGGCAAGCTGGTTTTGGGATGGGGTGTGAGGTGGGCGGTTGATCGAGGAAAGGGGAAGAAGGGGCCAAGGAAGGGGTGAAAAATGGGTTTTGAGATTGGTGTGTCCGGAGAGGGAGAAGGATGGCGCTCCTGGACTGGTCGGTGTCACAAGATCCTTGAAAGTGCAAGGTGTTCCTTGAATGATACATTGTAGAGCAGTGGAGGAGGGATGCCAGCGGTGTGTGCAGAGCCTCGCGGGCGGGCTTCCTTTTGAGTGTCTTCGGATGTCTTGGTAAAAAAAAAAAAATTAAAGTTTGGGGGCGAGTTTTAAAGAGTTTCACATCATCTTTTAGTTTTTTTTTTTTTTGGACAATCTCTTGCGGGTTTGGGGGGGGTGACTTTCTGGGTAATTCGATGGTGCTAGAATCTTCAAGGCAAGGGCTGGAATAAATTGTCCCTTTCGAAGGCGAGCAGGTGGATAGTGGAGAATGGCTTTTGCTGAAAGTACAAGGGGGGCTATGGTTCTGAATTAGTACCAGGCAAGAGATTTACTTGTTCATCTTCGTTTTAAGCCTAACTTCCCCTAGGGAGGTAGATCGCAGTGGAAAGGAGGCTTGAGACCTGCACTGGGCAGAGATAGAAGCCAGAAACCACAATGATGTGCTTTCAGGGAAAATAACTCGTTCCTGGGGAAATAATAACAGAGACAAAAGCACATCGTCTTGGTTTGTGATTTCACGCAGTATACATACTTGATTACTGCTGTTAAATAATTGATTTTGCATTGAAGGCTCATTCACAGAATTGGATCATTTCTTAAGTGTCCAAGACCAAATTTCCTTCCTTTGAATTAAGATTGCAGGCAATGGGTGTTGGAGTGGAATCCTTAGCGTGAAACCAGGGCCTACACTGACATTTCAAAGAACATAATAGGGGGTACCCCCTTTCAAACCTGTTTTCACTTTTTGTAAAGAAGGGTACATTTTAGATCGCAAAAGCAAAATGCCTTTGGTATCATAATATACCAATGAGAATTTTGAAGAAACGTGTACATGAAGCATTTGTTAAAATAAACCAGTTAACTGCTTTGGTTGATAGTAAGGGAATCATTTATTTTTTAATGGAGACACTTCTAAAGTAAATCAAACTCTTCAGGGATTGTCACGTTTGTAATGATTTTAAGAGTTTAACAGAGACTTTATGTTGTCATATACAGATTTTTGTTTCCTTCAGTAGATGCTTAAACAATAGTTTTTTCTGAGATCTGTTTTTTGATTAAATCTGGATTTGTGTATGTGCACGATGAAGGTTAAAGACTAGACCAGTTATGTTGAATTGCTTCAGTCCCTTCCTAAATTTCCTTCTAGCATAACAGAGATTTTTAAGTGAAAGAACACTAAAGCACGGGTAAATGTAACTCCAATTAAGGATTATTTATGAATGAGCTGCTCTTGATGACAGTTCCAATTTTATTTCCTTTCAAATGTAGGGATCTAGACAGAAAATTGTTCCAAACTCACCATATTCCCATGGTTTGTTTCAGCTCGGATGCAAAATGAGATTTGTAATTTGGAATTCAGCAGTGTAGACATTTGAGATTATTCTAATGGTTTTCTAGTCCCTGAGTATTCTTCATAGGAGGTCAACTTGAAGCAAGACTGGAAAGCGGATTTAAACTGTTACATTCATCTTTTAATATGCAAGAACCCGAGAGATTGCTGGTCTTGAAGAAATCCTGCGGTTCTTGTCTGTTGGTGATATTTCCTCCTTTTTCTTTGACAAAATCCAACTCTGGAAAAATACATAAAATTCATTATATTCTCAGTGAACCACCTACAATTTTTTTCTTAAGAATTTGTTGGAGCAGTATATGACCAGATTGTTCTTCTGATCTAGACATAAAGATAAACAATCTAGTTCCGTGATAATGTTTTGTTCAGATGAACAGGTCACACTGAATGGAGGCAGATTATGACCATCTATTTTACTTCTCTGAAGAAGCAAATAAGGAAGCTTTATGGTAGAATTTAGAATCTGATATTACTTTGACAGTTTTAAAATAAAATTTATTTTGTGTGCTTGTATTCTAACTCTCCTAATACTTTTTTTTTAATATTTCATTTCATACAAGGCTACAATAATCCATTGACAGTTTATTTACTTGTTGATATTTTAATTTATTTTGGAGACCTAGCCATGTGTGTCTGCTCTGAGAAATGAAGAACTCTCCTATTAGATTTTTTCTTTCTTAGTTCTGGGCCTTTACAGTTTGAAAGCATATTTATCAGGAGAAATGTCAATTAATTATAATTAAATTATTTCATCTTTTTTTGCGGAAACCTTTTTAAAAAATCCATTACTAGTTGTATCATTTCATTTAATGCTTTGGACTTATTACTTTTTTTTTAACCTTTTATTGCTTTTTGCTTCTTTTCTTTTTAACTTTTTTCCCCCTTAACCTATGATGAAAATTGTTTCATCTTTTTGGAAGGAGGGAGTATCAGGCAACGTTATTTAATCTTTAAAATTCCTTCTGGTGTTTTTTCTGTTTCTATTGTTTCATATTATCTTCATTCATTTGTAACTTTTTCTGTTTTAATCTTGCTTGTATCCCAGTATTTTGATTCTTGAGAATACTAGTTTTGCTTATTTGAAACAGGAAAAACTTCAATATAGTGCACTTTGTATGCTGTTCTAGTGGTATTTTTTTTCTCCCTTAAGGTAATAAGTAAATATCCAGATATCCTAATTTTGATCTTCCCAATGGTAAATTAATATGTAAGAGAAAATTATGCCTTTATGTCATTTTACCTCTGTAAGGGCTGGAGCGATAGCACAGCGGTAGGGCGTTTGCCTTGCGTGCATCGGCTCTGTTGAGCCGGGTTCGATTCCTCCGCCCCTCTGGGAGAACCCTGCAAGTTACTGAGAGTATCTCACCTGCATGGCAAAGCCTGGCGAGCTACCCGTGATGTATTCAGTATGCCAAACACAGTAACAACAAGTCTCACGATGGAGACGTTACTGGACCCACTCGAGCAAGTTGTTGAACAACAAAGTTGATGAGGACAGTGCTACCGTGACACCTCTGTAAAGCATATAGATCTTTGCAGCTTTTGCTTTTTCTGACTTTTTCTTGGTGTGGTCATATTTAACACGTGAAACTAGACCTTTGGAGATAGAGAAGACTGATACAGTTCCCTAGAATGTTTAGGTTTTAGTATTTTTTTCTAATATCTTTCTTATAGATGAATGAAATACCTTATATTTACAACTTCTTGCATTCTTTTACTTCGCAATTGAATGTTTGATAGTATGTACTAAATTCAGGGCTGTGGACCTCGTTGTGTAGATGAAAGACCTGTATTCCTTGAATTCAGGATTATGCTTTGAGGAAAAAAACAAGCATATAGAACATTCAATTATTTAGTAAATGTTTACTGAGTGTCTCTTGTCTGTCTTACTCTTCAGTGCTTCTCACCAGGGCATATTAGTATTTTTGGGTGGACAGTTCTTTAATATGTGAGGAAAACCCACTGTGGCCTCTGCTCTTTCTGTATGTTAGATATTCTAGTAGTCGTGTGACATCAGACAAATTAAGAGCTTCCGTCCAACTTCATTCTTTCTTCCAGATTGAGCTTCACCACATTTTTAAATGAACTTGGTGAAAATTGCTGTGCCGAAGAGAAGCTCATAAACTAAAATACAGGGGCTGATTTCAGATTGTTTCCACCAAGTACCCTCACCTTTGTTGTCAGCTTCATTAACACAGTCATTTCAGTCACAGAAAATAATTACACTGGTTAATATCACATGTTCTGCATGCATTGTTTGATCGAACATTGATCATTCCAGCAATGTGATGCCGGATTGTCATTGTTTTCATTAGAAGAGATAAAAACTTGACAAAGTTATAGCATGGGCAGCAGCGGGAACCTTAATGGAATGATGGATGAGGGTAGGAACTAGAATGTAGGCCCAAGCCCTATGATTCGTGATGCAAGCCAGGGAGTGTAGCTACTAGCAGGGACTGTGGAGGAAGTCCAGAGCCTTCAGCAGGCACCCTGACCCACTTGAAGAGCGTTCAGAGGTCCTCCCATGGTTTTACAAACATCTCTGTGGATTTTGTAGTTAAGTTTATGATTACAGTATGCTCATTCCTGACATTCCTCACCACTCAGTTGGTGCCCTGCCTGTCTTATATCCTAGCTCCCAGAAATTTCTCTCTGCCTTTTTCTTTTTCTAAGTCCATTGGCTTTATCATAATTAATTTATAAGATTTTTGTACTAGGTTTTGTTTTCCTGATTTCTCCACTGAGTGATAAACTTTGAGAGAGAAGTAATATCTTCTTGTTGTTTGCCTCCAGAATCTTAACTCTTCATTTATTGTTCAGTCAATACTCTTTGGTTAAATTCATGGAAAATGGACTTTAGTTTTTTATTTTGTGTATGAGGGTGCATCCGGCTAGGCTTAGAAGTTACTCCTGGTCGAGTGCTCAACAGCCATTCTTGGTGTTGCTTAGTGGATCATGCAGGACCAGGGATCACAGTGGGGCCTCCTGCTTGTAGTCCCTGCAGGCCAATCTGTTGAGCCCTCTCTCCAGCCTGTCAGTTAGTTGTTCTTTCAAATCAAGAGATTTTTCAGTGAAAGAAACATGTATGTATGTTTTAGATTTTCTCTAAAGGTTTCAGACCCTTAGGTTTTAAAGGGTCATCACTAGCATTTTCTCTGTTAATTGATGTAATTAATTAC